AGATGTACAGGACAAGGAGTGTAGGTGTTTGCAAAATATATACCAGTGACTTGAGAAGAGGACAGACACGGTATTTCAAGTAGTGGAGGCAGGGTCGGAAACAATCCTAGACTGCAGGACCATCCTCCTAGTTAGCATTCATAATGACCTAGCCCAAGGGAACAAACACTAGCTTCAGCAGACTAGCTGCATCCCTTGTCGAAACTTTTTGTCGGCATTCCTCCATGCCCTTTTAAGAGTTCACACTGGATTTCATTCTCAGCCCTTATCATGTAATAATCTACTGGCACCTGGAGAAAGGGGTTTTTTTCCTTATCAGCACAGTTCTTACTTCAAAAAAGAACTTGAACGTGAGAGGATTTTCTGGAGTGATGGAAAATGTTTTAGATCTTAATTGGGGTGAGGGTTATGTGGAATTTCCCACGTCAAAATTGTCCAGTTGAGATTTGTGCATTTCAATCTATACAATATTTGCAATAAAATTTTTAATCTTAAAAAAGAAAACAAAAACAAAAAACCAGCAAGTACACGGCAGGGAGTAGATGGAGGTAGATATGAAAAAGAATGGAAGATGTTGATACTTATTGAAGCTGGGGGCGGTGAGTATATGAGAGTTCATCATCCTTTTCTGTTTGCTTTGCTTGTATTTGCAATTTTCCCTAATAAAAAATTAAAACGAGGACAGAAAGAAGAACTAAAACAAGTCTTAAGCAAACTAATCCAGAGCTTAACTCCTAGGGATATAAGCAAAACCTTTTCGGGACAGAGTAAGGTGAGAGAAGGAACACGTGAGCTGGAGAGAATAGGCAGCCTGCTCCCAGCAGTCCCCAGAGCTCAGAGGTGACACAGGACGGCCTAGAACACCCTCAAAGTCCCAAATCCACCATGTTGGCTACATATAGGCCATGAAGCTACCATGTTCTAGGCACAGGCCTGGACTTCTGGGCAGACTGCAACCTACGGATTCTCACGCTACACTGGTATGTATAGTGTGTATAAAAAACATCTTATACTAGAAATTAATACATACACTATAAAGTTACATTTTTTTGGACAATTACTATTTCTGGATAGTTTTGATTTTTGGCATCTCCATCTTAACTAGAAATAAAAGGGAAAATTATAAAATTCAATATGGTATTTTGCAAGATGAACTACATCAAATCCCTGCTTGCTGAACAGGTTTATAAAGTTCTAATATTTGCATATACATCTCAATGCATCAGCCTATTTCAGAGGAAAGGGCCCAGGATCTAGTTGCAGAAAGAGAATGTTAGTGTAACAGGTGGCAAAGAGACACTGCTCCTATAGACAAATAAGTAAAATATCTTCCCTGTTTGATCATTCTCTTACCTTCGGCCTTGATCCAATCGTCCGTGAGGGCCCCGAGCAGGAAATCTGTTCAGGTGGCTCAGATGAAGTGTGTGGGATGTTTGGAAGAGACTCAGAGCTACAGAGAAGAAATGGCTGGTGACTCAAAAGCCCTACATATCTGCCCAACTTCCCTGTCCCTTTCCTCCAGTGACAGCAGTACCCACTTCTATTCTGAGAGCAACAACCAGAGAGTTACAGCCCCATTCAACCAGAGTACCCCCATAAAGCCACATCCCAACATCCATGCCACTGGTACGCACGCTTCTGAGGAAAGAGCGGGGGAATCCGGTGAGGCTGGAAGATCAGCTGGGGCTGAGCTCCCAGAATCCCTTGCTTCTGGCCCAGGGCTGCCACATGGAGAAGGGGAGGTGCTGGGGACTTCAGCAGGGGCTGCAGGACAGTAACCAGGAAATTCAGGGCATCCCATGGTTGATCTGCTCACCACCATGCAGCCGCACCCCTTGACAAAAGTAAGGTTCTCGCCCTGCTTTCATGGCACTGGGGCTTCTCTCCCACCCCTTTCCAATGCATATGCTGGAAAGACGCATACCTGGTTGGAGAGCGTTTGCACCTTGACAGCATTCCAGGGCACTGCCTGGCCTGGGTTGTATGCAGCCTTCACCAGCACCTTCTCACCCAGCTGGGGCAGCCGGCCCTTCACCACACTGCCAGCACACAAGCCAGGAGACCCAGTCAGGACAGAGACCCTGGCCAAGCCACCTTGACTGCCCCTAGGAGGCCCTGCCCATCAAGATTTCGCACACCTTGCATAAAAACAGCAAAGCAATGGCTTCAGAGGGGCCCCACCAGCACGGTGACAGAATTGAATTCAACAAGCATTGAGGGGACTAACCTCAAGCCTACCTTAGCTGAAAAAAGACCTCTTCATCTACTACCCCGAAGTAGTCATGCAAGCTGGTAACAATGCCAGTGAAGACCCGCTGCTTCTCCCCACCCTGTAAGAGAATAACGCAGTTTGAAAGTAACAGAGAGCATCTGTACACACTCCATCGTTAGCATCTCATCTCCAGCCAAACCCCATCCACTTCAACAAAATATGGTATCGAGAGCCACAAGAAGGAGACACACACGTATAACAGTCATAATCTACTGCGAGGAGGAGTAAGAGATCAGACTGATTCTTAGGTCAGAATCTTCTTCTAGGATTTCCAGCTCTTTAATTCCAAGAATCACCTAAAAGATTTCCCTAAAGCCAGAACTTCAGGCTCCCCAGTCAGAAGGGTGTCTAGACACGTGCATCCTGGCCCAGGCCAGGAGCACCAGGGAGGATGAACACGGGATGCAAGAATGAAAGCACCAGGCACCCAAGCATGCTGTGGTAGTCTCAGGTGTCTTAACTCACTAGAAAAAATGCCCAACCTACCTGAAGGTGCCTGGCATTTTGGGACAGGTCTGTGGCCACAGGAGGAGTGAGCAAACCAGGAGGAGGACCCAAAAGAGATGTTGAAGCTGCGCCTATGTGGACAGAGAAGCAATCTCCAGGAGCTGCATCTACCATTTCCAACACTAGAGTCAGACAGAAGGTATGGTGGACCCAAAGGGCAAAGTGACTCCAAGCAACTCCTCCACAGGGTCTCACTTGCCACCACGGTGCTCATCTCCTATTTTCCTATGAAACGCTGGCAGCAAACTGCACTCCACTTAGGGAAACCCCAAGAGCAACGTTTTAAAAGACAAACTCCAAAGCACGTAATAGCCAGTATGCAGCCAAACAGGGATAAAGGTGATCACCTGAGAAGTTGCGTCCCCCTGGAAGCGGGTTGATCCGCTGGCGCTTAAACTGGGACATTGGGAATGCTGTCCTCTTTCAGAGTCTTAGAAAAAACCTTTAATTGGAAAAGAAAGAAGTTAACAGCTCAGAGAATTTTCCATGGACCCCCAAAAAGTAACAGAGGATCTTAATGAAGGTGAGGAGGAGGAATGAATGGAGAAGATGGAGGGAACATAAAGAGCAGGAAATGCAAAACTTACATTGTTCCAGTTTGCCCTCACAATAAATTAGTGGTGGGTGATACTGTCAAGCTATTTTAAAGAAAAGGAAACTGAAGCTCACAGAGACTGAGACTTGCCCAGGGTCACATCACCAATCAGTGACAAAACTGAGACTCGCACCCAGGTCGCCAACAACTTAGCGCTCCTCGCACGATGCCACGCCACCCGCAGATGCTTGGGGAGAGTGGGGGATCGGAAAGGGCCCCAGTGACATTCATTCATTCAAATACATCCGCCAAAATGCTCCACGCAAGGCCGCGAAAAATGGAGGAGGCTGGTGCCGGAGAAGAGAAGGTGTGGGCCCTCTCCCCGGAAGCCCGGCCCGTTGTTCTCCGGACTGGCTGGTGGGAAGGTAGCCCCGTGGCCCGGCCGAACGCGAATCCGGCAGCGCGCCCGCCCGCCCTCCTGCTCCGGTACTCCCTGGGCCTTCGCTCCCGCCTCAGCAGCCGCCGGCACCGGGCCTCCCGGGCCGGGCCGCGGCGGGGCCACCGTGGGAGGACGAAGGCGCGCGGTTTCTCCTCCTCCCGCCCGCCCCCAGGGCCGAGGCCGTTGCCAGGGAGACGGGACTTGCAGTCCGAATGGGGGGCTCGGCCCCTTCCGCGCCCCGTGCATCTTTGCTGCCCGGCCCTCGCAGCCCCTCGGCCGGGGGAGGGGCGAAGGGGCAGAGGGGCGGCTGGGGGCCCCCCAACCCACCTGCGGGCCAGGGCCGCGACACCGGGGGGACAAAGACACCCGGAACCACCACAGCCTCTGCTGCCGCCACCACCGGAAGCGCCTCTCCGGAAGCGCGACCACTGGTCGGAAGCTGCCACTCTCCCGGATATGGTTCCTCCCTCCTCTCCACCGACTTCTCCCTTCCCCCACGCCGGCCTGCCATCCCGTTCCAACTGTGGAACGGAAGTGCGCCTTCCCCGATCGGATGCGCGTTAGGAAGCCTGGCCTCGGTGGTGTCCCCGCTTTACTGTCCCATTAGAAATGTATGCTTTAGAGCATTGGTTCCTGCTCCAAAGAGCAGGAGCTGGACCCCCAAATAGAAGAAACACCTACCACCCGACACCTGGCCTTGTCCCTTCTGGCAGACCCTAGGGCTGCAGTTGCAAGAGAAGCAGCCCCTCCTGACTGAAAGAGATGGGTGCCTGATCAGCGGCCACTTCTAGGAGCCATTACTGTCCAACTCAAGCCAATGATTTCATCTGTAGCCTGTCCCTTCCACTGACAGCCCCTCCCCCACACCCTCCCCTCCACTGGATATCTACAGGAGACTAAGCTTTTCCCCTTTCCCAATTGGCAAAGAGCTAGGAACCTAACATGCTGTAATAGATAAACCGCCACAATATTTTGGTAGACATTTACAGTGTTCTCAGAAACATTTCCTTTAGTCCTCACAACCCTGAAAGATAAGGTCAGGAATTAATGCCCTAATTCTCAGATAGGAGACCTAAGACTTGAGTGAAATGACATGCTTCAAATCATGCCGCTAATCACTGGGCACTTTAGTCTCCATTAGCAACCCAGGCCTGCTTTATCCTCTGGCCTTCGCATCATCCGTCCGGTTTGGCCATCTTCCAACCCCATGCCCTCCCCTTCCTGTTCATGTAACAGTCACAATGCACTTTGAGAGTTTGATCTCATTTTATCTTCATAATAAGACTGTGAGGTAGGTAGGGCAGGTATCATTAAACCATTCGGGACACTAAGTAGGAAGCTATGGCTCAGAAAAGTTAAGGGATTTTTATCAAGGTCTAAAAGCTAGTATGAGTGTCTGGTTTCAGCTCTGATGTGTAAAGGTTATTAGGGACCAAAGTGGCTGCAGACAGACCTTGAAGCTTACTCTGCTATTCTCCGTGTTGTCCCTGACCCTTCCATTCCAGGTTGTCTTCGGGGGCTCTGCTTCACAGGCAAGACTCCATGCAGAGGCTCCCAAAATAGTAGTTCATCCATCCCCCCCACGCCGCCCTGTCCTGGGGCTACCCACGAAGGTTCGAGAAAGAAAGTAGGACTCCAAATCAGTAACTGCGCACTGAGGAATGGAGGTCGCTTCCATCCTTCTACAGTTACCTCATCCGGAAGATCAACCAACCCTCTGGGTGTATGATTCAGAAGAGATGGTTGGATCCAGCCAGTTCACAGCAGTGACTGACTCACGGAGATACATGGATCATTTTGCACAAATATGCATCTGTGACACACTAGGCCCCAGTAGATCACCATGCCAAACACGCCCCATGGACTCCTGATAAATAACTTAGTTCACATTGACTAGGCCCAGGGATTTCTGGCAACCAGAAAGGAGCCTAGGGGCTGCTGCACCTTGGGGCCTCTCAGGGAGCTCGGGCTCCTCTGCCAAGCTGCCCAGCGGAGAAAGATCCAGCCCTCTCCTCAGAGAGAAGGGTGAGCATCACTTCCTGGCAGTGCCCAGAAGCAGCAACAGGGCAAAGGGCAAGGAAGAAGACTTCACTGCACACCCCCCAACCCAGGGTCACGTCCCTGCACCAGGAGGTCTCAGCACACAGAAAGGTTTTTTGCTCGTTGCTTCTTAACCACAAATGATGGCATAAAGGTCTTCCGGAGGGGCTGGCATGGAGGTCTTTCAGGGACGCCCCTTGACTCAATCCTGTGGAAAAGAAAAGGTAGCTTTAGGCTAGGAGGAGGAAACAAAGGCAGCAATAGCCCCAGAGTTGATGGAATCTGCCCTGGGAAGCTAGGGACAATGACACAGTGCTTCCTATCCCCACATTATCCCCCATCATCTACTGTGGAATCCTTTGTGTCCCAACCTTGCTCTCCCAGCAAATCCGAGAGGTGGCCTAAGGTTCAGCTGCGAGAGCCGAGGGCTTGCTGAACTGGAATGAGGGGATCTCCCAGGCTCTGGTCCTGGCTCTGCCACGGACTCACCACACAGGTAGCCTCGGGAAAGCAACTTCCTTCCCCGACCCAATCCCCAGCCTCCTCCTCTGTAAAAGGGATGCTTTAACTACCTTCCGTTTTTCCCAGCACCCTCTCTGAGACTATCTCGGTCTCTGAGATTTCAAAGGGACCCAAAAAACACCACTGGCATTACAATCTCAGCATCCTGGTTCATCAGGCTCCTCCTCACACCCCCACCCCCACCCCCCACCCGGCTGGGCCCCAGGACTCACCTAGGGGCAGGGCCATCAGGAAGGGCAGGGGACTCAGGGTGTTTCGGGCTCCTCCAACGGATCCGGTTGAGCAGGACCTTGACCTTGTTCCAGTGGGAGAGATCCCGCTGAGCGGAGGGCGAGGGGATCAGAGCTCCTCCCCACGACTAACCTCTGACCAAGTTCCCATAGACAGCAGGCAGTACAGCCAGGACAAGTCACCCGCTCCAGTCAGGATTCCGTCCCTTTCCCAGTGTTCGTGGCCTTCACGCTGTGTACACATCCCAACCAGACCACACCCCCCACCTCCCCACCTCTCCACCCCCCCACCCCCTTACCCCCTCTCCATCCTATCCCATGCCTCCACACACACCCATCACCTACCTTGTGTCCCTGGGAGGGAGCAAAGATCTGAGCTGGTTCTGCTGCGGCCTCTAAGAGCCTGGGAGGGTTGGCACTGGGCAGCCCAGCCTTTAGGGGTGCAGCTGTTTCTGCCCCTTCAGAAAGAGAATCAGCTTATCCAGGGCCAGAAGCAGGAAGCCAAACATCAAGCCCCCGGGGTCACGTGGTCTCCCGGGGTGGGGGCGGGGTCTCCCGGGTGGGGGCGGGGCCTAGGCAGGCTAGACACAGGGAAACGCGATTGCCTCTCACCTGTCCCCTGCGTCTGGCTAAGCAGTTCATGCACCTCACCTCCTGGGTCACGAGAGGGTGGCGGTGAAGGGGCCAGGGTTGGCTCCCCCGCTGCCCCCTCTATCTCCTCTTCCTTCACTTCAGGATCCTGTGCACAGGACAGACAGGCACTCAAGACCCAACTCGAGGGCTACTTCCAGGGCTCCCGCGTGGAGCCGCCCTCCTCCACAGCCCCCACTCACCTGCCCCCCGCTGGCCGGCCGGCCCTTCAGCTCACTCACCGGTGGGGGCCTCTGGGTCTGCAGCTGCAAGTAGAGCTGCTGGAGCCTTGCCATCTGCTCCAGCACAAGGCACAGGTGTTCCAGGTAGCGGAGCCCCTGTCCTGGGAGACAGGCCCAGGCTCCAGGCCCCAGGCCCCCTGCCTGTGGGACAGAGTGAGGTCGGGGAGACTTCTGAACTCAACCAGACCCCCATGCTAGGCAGACCAGCAGATGGGAGCAGAGGGTCTGGGGAAAGGAGGCACATGCCCCCAGCTGGCCTCCCAACACCCACCCAGGCATGCGGCCAGGCCAGGCCCCATTCTGCCCACCTCCACCCAGCTGGGAGTGGGCCGAGGAGAGAACAAGCCATCAACCAGAAGCAAGGAACGCCCCACCCCAAGAGAGCTCCAAGAACAAGTCAGTGAGGCCCCACCAGCCAGCAGCAGCCCCCTCCATGTGAGAAGGCCATTTCTGTCCCACTCTAACCCAGCCTGAGACCTGGCACTCACCACCTCTGCTTCCTCTAGGCCTGCCTCTAGGTCAGTTTCCGCCTCTGTGGCCTCCTGTTCCCCGGCTCCAAAAGGGGGCACTTGACTTTCAGGCTCGCAGGGGGGATTCAGTGAGCGGCAGTGTCGTGACATGCTGGCCGGGGAGGTGGGGAGCTGGCGGGAGCGCTCCAGCACCTGCTCCAGCTTACGGTTGGCCAGAAGCCGGCCAAGATGGGCAGGAGGCTCCACGGGAGCAAAGGCCAGGGGCTCAGGGTTCCCTGTAGGCTCAAAGTCCAGACAGACCTGAGAAAGGCCCGGTGAGGTGGTCAGGGGCCCGTCCCCGACCACCATCTCCACTCCTGAGTCCCTGGAAGCCAGTTTGAGAAGTGGTTGCTGCCTCCTGGGACCTCTCAGCTGGCCATCCCTCTTCCAGGAGTCCAGTGAGCAAACCTGAGCCGCGTCTGGGATCCGTCGGTAGGTGCTGCTGACTCCAGGTACTACACAACCGTGTGCCAAGTCCTCACCAACCCCATCTGCAAGGAGAGTCTGCATCAGGCTGGGCAGGCTGCCCCTAACGCCCCCAGCATTCCTGGCAACTGGCAGCATTCCCCAGGGAGGAGTGTCCTGGGCCAGAGGTGAAGGGAGGGGACCGGACTGGACAGCCACAGCCCCGCCCAGATCTCTCCCCATCCCTGGCTGGAAGAAGTTAACACGGGTTCCCTTCACAAGTCTTTGTTGGTGATCACAGACCGCCCGGATTTGGGCGGCAGGCAAAGCCGTGTGGGATGTGTTCACCAGCTCCTTGTATGGGCGATCCTCCTTTGAGGGGATAGCTGCTTTCTTCTTGTGCCCTGAAGCCCAGGGTCAGCCTAAGACTTCTAAGTCGTGAAAGGGGAGCCTCAGTCTCTTCAACTACTCCCCCGGGGGCAGTAAGACTGCGACCCCCACCCCCACCCTCCGGCCTCAGGGAGACGGAGAAGGGCACAAAGAAGGAAGCTTGGGGTCCCAAACTAGCATCAGGATGCAGGATGCAGTCTCTCCAGAAGCTCCTGGGGGAGGGCGATAAAAATAACAATAGCTATAACCACTGCGGGCTTCTGCTCTCTTAAATGAGAAATAGTGAAGATTTGGTGGGGAGTCGTGTGGGGGTGGGGTGGGACTTAAACGGGAACTGGGGGCAGGGGGTGTAGGAGGAGAAGCAGCGCAAGCGCCCGAGGACTGCCCCCTCTGCGACAGGCCCTACCCACGTGCTGGGTCCCCAACTGTAATACCGATGCACAAACTAGCGCGGGAGAGGATGGAGGGCCGCCTTGGTCTCACCGCCGGCCGCGCGGGAGAACTGGGGGCCACTCCGGGCCCCTCCACCCCGGCCCAGGAAGCCAGCTTGTTAGTCTCCTTCGGGAAGGAGAGGGCTTCCCTTCTTCGCGGCGGCGGAGGGGGCTTTTGGACCAGCCGGCGGGGCAAGGGCTGGGCGAAGGTCCACACCGGGAATTAGAGCGAAGTGGAGCCGTTGGGAGTGGGATGGAAGGTGGTGGCTGGTTTAGCGCCCGAACCCAGAAGGTCTCCAAAGCGCACAGCGCCATCACTCCGCCGGTCCGAAGGGAGGCGGCGAGGTCGAGCGCCCCGGGCGGGGTGTACCGGCTGGGACGGGGAGCGCAGAGCGGGGTCCGGGCGCGGTAGTCGGCTCCAGGACAGGAGGCCCCGGCCGGCCTGGGGGGCGGGCGACTCACCCCGGCCGCGGAGCGGCTCCACGGCGAAGACGCGCCGCCGGCCCAGCATGGCTCCGCTCCCGGCCCCAACGCGGCGCCCCGGCCGTCCGGCAGCCAGCCCGCGATCCCGGCCAGAGATCCCCCGCCGCTGTCTGGCGGGAGGTTTCGCACGCGCGTCCGGCCCCGGCTGGGCGCGGCCCCCGGACCCTCCCCGCGGGGGGCGGGGGGGAGGGGCGCGCAGGTGTGCGGACGGCCGGGGGTGGGGTGGGCGCGCCTGGAGGGGCCGCGGGGGGCGGAGGCTGGGAGCCGGGCCGCGCGGGGCGCTCCGGGGAGCGGGGAGAAGGCCTGGATCCTCTGTCCTTCGGGCTCCGGGCCGCCCCGAGCTCCCACACCCGGCCGAGGAGCGGAGACCTCCGCCTGAGGACGCTGTCTGACTGGAGGTGCGGGGTTACCCGACACCCCCTCACTCCCGGTTCACATGCTGGTCTGTCTTCCTGCCGCCGAAATGCAGCCGGAGCTGGGGGTGGAGGGTCGGCGGACACTGGACGGTAGCGCGGAAGGAAATGGAGCCCCACGTGCTGGCTGCGGGAAGAGCGCTGACCGGGACAAGGTTGTCCCTGCGCTCCCAGCTGTGTGCCTGGGGCATGTCACTCAGCCACTCAGAAACCTGACGCGACAGAAGGGGGAAATGATCCCTGTCCACATGGAAATCCTTTCCGACAACTGTAGAGCGCCTTGAGTCCTAAGCTAGATCTTAATCCCCTCCTCGTCCCATACCTCTCCCTCACCCGGAGCACCCTAAATCTGGGGAGGGGGTCTTCAGCATCTGGGGAAGTGAGCCAGAGGGACGAGGAAGCAGCCTGGAGGCGGTGGAAGTGTAAATACTTCCCTCTCCCCACCCCAACCCTCGTTTGGTCCTGGGATTCCACCACTCCTCACCCTCAAAGGCTCCCAGCCTGAAAGGAAGCTGGGAGCCCAGGCAGCTGCCCAAGGTGACACAGCCCCGTGAGCAGGGGGGCTGCTGGCCTGTAAGGAAACCTCATCCTCTTGAGTAAGGTGACAGGGCTGGAAAAATCCCAGCAGGACCCAAATCCCTCGGAGGTAGATAAGGGAGCTGGTGGACGTGCAAACTTGCACCTGAGCCTCTGGGGGAGGGGCTGGAGCCAGAGCCCTTGGAAGGAAGTGGCCGTTAACTAGGAGGGGAAGAAAGTCTGCCACCCTATTCTGCTCCTTGCTCCTTCGTACCCTTCCCCAAACACCTTACACTGGAGCCTTATCAGCAAGTTGGAAACTATAAGATTCTAACTGTATAAGATGGGGAAACTGAGGCCAGTAGCCAAGTCTGGAGAAAGAATGAGAGCCTAGTGCCTGAATTGCCTGCCATCTCGTAACACCTTGATTTTCAGGCCAAGCCCTTCCCTGCTAGGCATAAATCCTCTGGGTTTTCCCCACCTAACCCTATTCCCTAGACAGTAACCCCACTCCATTCCTCTTCCCCAGATACAGACAGGGAAAGAGAATGCAGGGCCTGGCAGGAACTGCTTTATGCTCGCCCAACAGGATGTGTGGCACCAAACCCCACAGGCAGTGTCCGACCCCACCCCAAGGCTCCCTAGGTAGGAGGGTTGGAGGGCTGGCCTCTCAGGTGGCTTCCTTCCTCTGTAGTGAGAGGTTAGGGAGGTAAAGGGAGGGAACCTCTGCCAGATCTCACCCTGAATCTGGAGAATGTGGGGCCAGATTCCAAGCAGTCTCCCTGGTGACTCTGGGGCAAGAATGCTTCTGGAACAGGAAGCCCAGCCAGCAGGAATGCAGTGTCTCAGCACAAGGCTTTGTGTGGGCTCAAAAGAACCCACACCCCCACCAACACACAAGCAAGCACACGCCCTTCCAGGCCACGCACCTATGTCTCCCCCTCAACCATGCAGATACACCTGAGCCCTCATGGTGATGGGGATCCATCATAGGGGGCCACACACTTCCCACCCCTCTGCCTTCTGAAGCCCTGACTGGAGTAGCCCTGTGACCAGAACTAGGTCAGGCCTTCTCTACCCCAAGGCCTCTGTACCCCTGCATGACCACCTCCCACCCTGCTTCCTATCAGAGGAAACCCCTTTTCCTTTGATGCTTGAAGGAATAACAGGGCAGCTCTGCCGCCCCCTTCCTGCCCGCCTGACAGGTGAGCAGCTTCCCTGAGTTCCAGACTCACGGTGGCTGAGCAGCATCCTTCTTCGGGCTGAGGCCAGGGATGCCCAGTGGCCCCTCATCCTCCATGGGGAAGTCCCAGTTTCAGGAAGCACATTTCCTGCCAGCTCAGCACTGAGCTAGGCCCCGTGGGAGGAAGGGCCAAGCCAAGAGGCTGCGGGCATCTCCGGCCAGAGTAGAGATGGCTGGGAGCCATGGTGACCTCCCTTGTGCCCTGGAAGGCAACCTCTGGTGATGGAGGGGCAAAATCTCCCCACCCCAAACCAGAAATGCGGGATTCAGACTCCAGGGTCCACTCCCAATCCCCTCCCCTTACCAGCTCGGAGTCCTTGGACCTGCTACTCATCCTCCCTGTCCACTGTCCAGGGGTTCTTCATTTACAGAACAAGGAGGACAACAATACCGACCTCAGAATTGTGAGGAGTAAAGCACTCAACATGTTTGTGTGTTAGAATTCCCTAGTGAAACTTTGGGAATGTCCCCCTTCCCATTTCTAACTGAAGGGGGCTCTATTAGATGCTCTCTTGGGGGAACTTCTAACTCGAATCTCTCATTTCTGAAGTTATTCCCCCAAATGCAGAAAAAAGTAAAAAGGGCACAGCACTGGACAAACTGAGGTCTTATAATTAGGTGGTGTCCCCTCCCAAATGTGTCTGGGTTGCAGAGGGTGGGCGCTCACAGCTGGCTTGGGGTGGGTTTGAGGGCAGGGAGGAAAAAGATCAAAGACTGCCCCCAACCTTCTCCTCTGACCAAAGAAGTGTGCTCCCAAGCTAAGGCTGGCTGTGTAGCTGCTGAGCTCTCTGAAGCTACCCCCTGCCCCCTCCCTGGGCCGCTGGAAGGAGAACTCCTTGCCCCAGTTAAACAGATGGATTTCAGCGTGGACCCATCCAGGCTTTGGAGGCATTCAGCAACTCACCGACATACCCCTTTCACAAGGGTCTCCACTCCCCATCTGTTCTCCTCTACTCCTTGGAATATTGCTGGCCCACCACACTTTGTTACAGGTGGGGATCTGACCATGTTAATACTCCCACCCACTTTTTCCAATCCATCACTTCCCTGCTTAAAATTTTCAAAATGGTCCCAGAGTCTCAAGATGAAGTCCAAACCATTTCTTCTGGCATTCAAGGGTCCCATCTCCCCTTCCAGTCTTCTCTTGGTACCTCCTTTGGCCACTGCCCTAAACCGAGCATCCACCTGCACTCACCCCCATCCTTCAGCATTTGTCCACTGCACCTGTCCAGGTTCTGTTCATCCTTACACACAGATGCCCTCTGCTCTGTGCTCACAGGCCATGCCCGTGTGTCCCACATTAGCTCTTAGCACTCATTGCCATGTACTATGATTTCATTCATGCCAGCTCAGCGGCTGCCACTTGACCACCACCTTCAGGAGAGCATGAAAAAGTGCTACCCTTTTCTGGATGCCCCTTTTGCCGGCATTCTCCCCTGTCGTGGGCTACACCTGACAGCAGGTGGCGCCAAGGAGGCCATCCCATTGCCGACCAGGTGTTCTGGCCTGCGGTCCTCCTCCTGAGCCACAGAAAGCCTTGATCTTTTCTATGAAAATAAAGGCAGCTATCCAGAGAGACGATTATGTCAAGGGGTAAATTGTATCAACAGATGCCCGAGGAGCCCACACAAACATTCTCCACCAAGATTCGCTCCAAAAAGAGCCAGATAGCACCGTCTCTAAAGCCCAGCTTTGATCTTTTCTGTGAAAATAAAGTTGAGACTGTAGCCCATTCCTCAGGCTAACTGGGGGACAGGGTGGGTCTGGAGCACCCAGCAGCACCCATGCACCTTTCTGAAAACATCCTCCAGGATGAGGACTGGGGTTCGGTGGGTGAATCCAGCCCTAAATCTGGTAGGGAACCTCTGTCCTGGCCTCAAGTCAAACACACCTGAGGGCAGACATGCCTGGCACTGGTCACCCATCCTTTTTTGGTTTCGGTTGGGGTTTTCAAATCTACTAGAAGTGAAGCCAGCAGGGTCTCCCGTGGAAGGGGCACACAGAAAACCCTGACTTGGAGGTGAGGTCCTTGATGGGTGGTAGTCCCTCAGGGTGGGGGCTCCACTGGCATGTCCCTCCCAGGCAAGGCTAACCTGCAGCCTGTCCAGGGTTCTTTCTGGTGATTCTCTTTCTCAGATGGGTGCAGACAGCCTTGGCCAAGTGCAGGACGTACTTGAGATGTTGCCCCCTCTCCTGCCCACCCAGCTCATCCGGGTAAGTCAACTGAGCTGGCAGCACTGGCCCCAAGTAGAGCAAGGAGCACAGAGTGCCAGGCCAGCCAGGGCCAGGGGAATATGAGACTGTGTCCCTCAGCCGAGGCCTGGACACAATAGACGTCCGGGCCTGCCTCCTGCATCTCTGCTCCTCTCCAGGCTCCCAGTGAGAAGCTCCAGCCTCTAAAGTACCAGGGGTTATCCCAGTAAAACTGCCATCTTTATAAAAGTGTCCAGGAGGTGGGGTACCCGGGGGGCTCAGTCGCATAAGTGCCTGCCTTTGGCTCAGGTCATGATCCCGGGGTCCTGGGATGGAGCCCCGCATGGAACCCCACATTGAGTCTCACATCTGGCTCCCTGCTCAGTGGGGAGCCTGCTACTCTCTCTGCCTCTGCCCCTCCCCCATCTACATCCCCCTGTGCTTACGTTTTACCTCTCTCAAATAAATAAATACAATATTTAAAATAAATAAATAAAAGGGTCCAGGAGAGGTGCCTGGTTGCCTCAGTTAATGGAGCATGCAACTATTAATCTCGAGGTTGTAAGTTCAAGCCCCACATCAGATGGAGAGATTAAAAATAAAAATTTTTTAAAAGGGGGGGGTACCTGGGTGGCTCAGTGGGTTAAGCCTCTGCCTTTGGCTTAGGTCATGATCTGGAGGTCCTGGGATTGAGCCCCACATTGGGCTCTCTGCTCGGCAGTGAGCCTGCTTCCCCCTCTCTCTCTCTGCCTGCCTCTCCGCCTACTTGTGATCTCTGTCTGTCAAATAAATAAAATCTTAAAAAAAAAAAGAGTGGACGGTATCTAGAAAGATCACAAACTTCCACTAAAAGAAACAGGCCTCAGGGTGCCTGGGTGGCTCAGTCAGTTAAGTGTCTGTCTTTGGCTCAGGGAATGATTCCAAGGTCCTGGGATCAAGCACCACCACCCCCAAATCAGGCTCCTGGCTCAGCGGGGAGCCTGCTTCTCCCTCTTCATCTACCTGCCACTCTGCAGACTTGTTTTCTTTCCCTATCTCTCTTTTAAAATAAATAAATAAAATCTGAAAGAAAGAAAGAGAAAGAAAGAAAGAAAAGGAAAGGAAGAAAGAAGCTTTTTCGGTAGGTTTGGGGGGGGCAGGTAAAGTGGAAAAAAAATATGTAAATAAAGACTTTTGACCCAGTGGTCAAGAGAAGCTCATCCCCAGGGGCTGGGGCAGGGAAGGAGAGGGGAGATCTACTTTGTTTTGTCCATGTATATATATTTATAGAGTTCATATGTTGAAAACTTTACAGAGTGAATACGTTTTGCCTCTGACCACCCATCTCTTTCTACATACTTCTCTCTGTGTCCCAACCTGCTTAACCCCTGTTGCACAAGGATATCCAGTGCGGTGCCCACCTTAGCCGTTAGTGCACAGCCTGTCCTGCAGGGGGAAGTGAGAGTTTCTAGCACAGGCCTGGGACAGCGAGGCTGTCCTCATGCACAGCCCAGGATAGGCCCCAGGACCTAGCCACACCTAGCATGGAGGAAGGGGCCCGCCCACCACCCACCAACCGCCCTTCCAGGCCAACTTGCTGTTGGCATGGCCCTGGCACAGAGGTGCCCACAAAGTTGAGGGCGGCTGAGAGCACTGCTAGGTGCTCAGGCCTCGGAGCTGAGGGTGGGGGGTGAGGAGTAGCGCTGGCGGGCGTGCTTCTCACAGTACAGCTCGTCCCCCACCCAGAAGTGCCCGCGCATCTTCAGGTTCAGCCCGCAGTCTGCGCAGGTGTAACAGCTGGGGTGGCGGTAGCGCCCCTCCTGGATGCGGACAGCGTGGTTCCTGCAGGGGGCGATGGAGAGGGCAGAGCTGTTAGCCTGGGGGCTTGGGTGGAGGTGGGACCCCAGGCAGGACCGCAGCCCTTCTCATTCGCAGGGAGCCTAGCTCCGAGACAGGACTCAGGGAAGATCCCCAAATTTCAGACGCTGACTCCCCGATCCTTCCTTCAGGACTCTCGCGTCAATAACCCTACAACCCCCCACCCTCAAGACCTCTAGTTAAAAAAAAAGAGGGGTGTTCCCCCTTTAAACAAACGCAGATAAATTGCATCCTGAATTTTCTGGGTTGATAATGGAGCAGTGGTTCTCAAAATGTGGTCCCAGGAATGAGGACCCACAGCATCGCATTCCCTGTGGACAAGCTGGAAAAGTGGAAGCTCTGGGGAGCGGAACCCTCTGACAATCCCTTTGCAGCTGCTCTTTGAGAACCCCTTTCCTTGCGTCTACACAGCGGCATGGGTAATATCCCATTCCGCAGGTGGAACAGCGAAGCCCACAGAGGCTAAGGGGTTTGCCTAAACTGAGTCATCTGGCCGTTAACACCGCGAGCAAGACATCGATGGCGGGGGCGGAGGGGAGGGTGAGTGGGGTTTCAGCAATTTGCCAGAGAATACCGCTGCATTATAATGCCACCCACTGAGAAAAACAAACCTGCCTCTGGAAAATCCATCCCTTTCCAAAGTAGGTGGGGAAGGGGGGTGGGGGAAGGGGGGTGGGGGCGGAGAGCAACATTTTCCAGGAGGAGGCACCCCGTCTGGAGGTAGATCTCCAGAGGCTTTTAGATTACTGGAGAGAAATCAGAAGCAATAACATTTCCTACTCCTCTGGGGAGGGCGAAAGAAATCAGAAAGAAGGCGATGCCGCAGGAAGAAGGCAGCAAGGCTTTGTAAGAAGCCTGAGAACAAGCCGCATTACCCCCTCGCACAGATGCATCGGCCCGGACTGGTCTTTCTCTGCAGAGCCCTCCCGAGGGCGTTCCCTGCCCTGCTCCGCCCCCTACCGCCCTGCCAGGGAGTGCCCGCCCCCCACCCCCACCCCAGTACTCACACGATGCTGGTGCTGCACTTCTCGCACGTGTGGAGCTTGGGTGGGGTGGCCAGCGCCCTGGAGGTGGGCAGGGAGGACTGGGGGCTCAGCTGACTGGGCAGGAAGGCAGGTGTGCCCCCTGGGGGTGGGCAGACAGACACACATTAGAGCTCTTTTCCCCGTGGCGGCAGCCAGGCTCTATTTACCCATGCACGCTCCTCCAGCACAGCTCCGAGGAGGCTCCTAAAAGGTGTGCTTACACACGCAAGGCTAAGGGAACACCGGGGGTGTGGCCGGTAGGTGATGGACGAAGGGAGTGATGGCAGCCGCTTCTGGGCTAGGGCGGAGTTAGCCCAAGCTGAGGCAGCCCAAGGAATGTCTGAGCTGTGTCTACACATCCCACCAAGCAGGCGTGATCCAGGCATGATGCTATTAATTAAAAGATGGTAATGATAGATAATAGCAGCACCACAATACCTTTATACAGCTTTCAAAGGGCTTCTATGGGCCTGGCTGCCTGTGAGCCTTGGAACAACACTGAGGTGAAGCACCGGGGGTACGGGGTGGGTATGGTCCCTGTTGGCCCAAGGACCCCAAGGCTCCAGCAGTGACCATCTGCGCTCCACCCCCCCAACCACCTCTCTCCGGGCCCTGCCCACGGGCCCACCAAGGCCTCGGGGTCCTGATAGACAAGCTTCGCTCGCTACCCCCTGACCCCAGTGAGCACCCCAGGAGCTAACTGTCTGAGTTGAAGCCAGGCACCAGATATTGTACCAGTGAGGCTGTTGATCTGGAGCTCCAGACTGTCCCATTGTCTGCCTCCCTGCGGCCTCTGCCAGGCCAGGCCCCCTCGTCTCTCCCCTGCACTAGGCAGTGCCCCCCCCAACACACACACACACACAGTACCACTGTACCCCAACCACCTCACCCCAATAAACTGTTCTTCAAGGGCAGACAGGTGCCTGGCCACTCTCGGCCACCACACTTGGCACCCCACAGGCCCATCAGACAGGCACAGTAAATGTCTGTGGAAGGAACAACGGAATGGCTGGCAAGAGCCCATATCTCTCTTCTTTCTCACTCCAGCATCTGCCTGGCATTATTTAATGGGACCTCCTGGGTTAGAGCACTCCTCCGCCTGGCACATGAGACCCCCCAGCCAGGACTCAACCTCTAAGACCAGGCCCCTGCTACTCTCTCGCTCCCACACCAAAGCCCTCGGGCTGCCAGCCACCACAGGCCTCGCGCTCACCGCTACCACTACCAACCAACCCCCCTCCCCCTGCCGCCCCATGCCCTCTCTGAGGCTCAAACTCCCTGCCACCATCTTAAGGCCCTTTGTTAAAGTCTTAATCTTTCTTCAAGGGTCAAGTCAACGTCATTTTCCTCCATGAAGCCCTCCCTGGAGACCCAGTCCCCATGGGCCCTATTCCCCACCTTTGTCATTCTCTTGAAATTTTCCTGATCCCAGCCAGCACCCCTGGGTGCACCCCTGGAACTCCTACCAGGTTGAAAGCCCCTTTAGTGCAGGGACTTGCCCTTGGTGCCCACTCCTGTGATGAGTACTTAAGACATACCTATTCAATATCATGCCCAGTTAGGGTCCGGGGACATCCTGTTGGAACCTACTTCCAACAAGCAAACCCCCCAGGAGCTCACCTCTCTCCTCAGCCTCCAGGGCTTCCTGCAAGAGCCGAAAGGAGCTGGACTGCCGGGGGGCAAGCCGCGCCTCACGATTCTCCTGCAGCATCTTGTAGACTTCTGAGTCCTCTTCCAGAAGGCGGCTTCCCCCTTCTGAGTCCACACTGTAGGGGCAGGAGGCAGCCAGGAGTGAGGGTCCCTTCCTGGGTATAAGGACCAGCATGGGGGCAGGGAAAGAGCGCCCTAGGGCAAAGGATTCTGGGGGTGGGTATTCAGAGGACAGCCAGCTGGGCTTAAAACCATCGGGACCCCACCCACCCACTCCCCACCACCCCCATTCCTCCTCTCTGTCTCCTGGTTTCCCAGGCCCTCCAGAATTCCACCCCACCCTCCAGGGCCCGCTGCTACCTGAGCCTGGGGCTGGAGGAACGGGCACCAGGGGAAGGCGGCAGCACCAGCACAGCTGAGTCGCCAGCACGGGTGAGGCTGGCCTGTGGGACAGAGAGGCACCAGGGGAGGAGTCAGCGGCTGGAGCCTTTGGCCAACACAGCTGTCTGGGCCGCCAACACCAGTCCGGCTGTTCCCCAGGCCCAACACCAGAGGGCTCCCAGCTCTTGCTGACCAGCAGGCCGGCAACAAGGCAACAAGGGGCCATCGCCCCAAACCTTCCCTCTGGGAACTAGGGACTCCTCCTGCTCGGTCCCAGAAGGGGAGAGTGGTCAGCCCCTGACTGTGGAAGTAAAATGGTTCTGCAAGGAGACTGGGCAAGGGGCAGAGCAGCAGAGAGGAAGTAAGCAGATCCTTTCGCTGTGAGGAGAAGGAAACACAGGGATGGAGTGAAGGGCCTGAGACCCCTCTTAGAGTCAGGGCTGGGGCTGCACAAGGGACCCTCTCCTGCACACACTTCCTCTCCTGAGAGGGCCCAGGTCTGCTGGCTGTCCTGGAGGTCTGGTTCTGCCCCAGGGAGTCTGCGGGGGCCAGGCCCATTTTGGACCCACACCCCAACAGTAGCACCCTCTCTCCAGGCGCACACTGTCCACCCTGGGCTCTTGATGCTTGCTGTCCATGTGGAAATCCCGCCTTCAACCTCACTGGTGCTCCACTTTCTGGCCTGCACCTCTGCACCCACTCCCTCTACCCTGCCTCATCTCCACTGCCAGCCCCCACAGAAGGGGCCCCTCAGAGACCACCAGACAGGCCACAGTGCTCCGGGCTGAGGGCACAGTTCCCTGGAAGGCCAAATTCCCTCGATTTTAAGATTCAAAGTCAGGGACAAAGTACAGGGTCCAATGATAAAACGGCATGAATTTTTCAGCTAAAAACAGAAACTTGAGGGTTTTGAGAAGACAGCCCTAGATCCTCACCCCTGCAGCCTACTTCTGCCAGCCTACATCCCTCTTGCTCTTGGTGCCTTGTGGTCCACTGACAGGTGGTAAGATGGTTTCCTCAGCACAGCGACTTAAGTACCATGTCCCATTGTGCCATCTGAGGCCAGCCTGTGCCCGGCATGGGGGCAGTGGCTAGTTGGGAAGGCGAGCCAAAACCCACCCAGGCTCTCTTTGCAAGCCAAGTCCAAGTGCCAGCCAGAGGGAGGGGTGCTGTCTTTACTTCACATCTGCCCACCAAGGCATGTGCCTACCCAGAGGTGGCAACTTCCAGTTTTCTGAAGGGCCCCATAAAGGTTGGTGGGGTCCTGAGCCTGGGGCTCAGTGCAGCCCCAGCCAGCCAGCTCAGGAACCAGCAGCAAGGCCATGGCCACAGCAGACTGGGGTGGGGGAACCTCACCTCTAACCCCTTTCCTCCTGCCAGACCACGACGCCCTGGTGGAGAGGAGCCCAGCTCCCTGATTAGGAGCAGCTCTGCCTTTCTCCTCCCTCCCTCCTAGTCAGCTAGGGACACCTGCCTTCCCAGAAGGAGCCTTGGATCCCCAAGTCCAGAGAAGCTGCTCACCTCCCCCCCCCACAAGAGCTCATCTGTAGCTAGCACCTCTCAAACTGTGTTCTGGTGGAAACAGGGATGTGAATAAGTGAGTGGCAGGTATGTGGGGGGAGAGGGGATGCCAAGAGAAATTCTGTAGTTAAATTTAAGTTTAGGAAATTATTAAAATTAAATATATTTCTCATGGGACTTCTCAGAGCCTTTAAGGTGCTAAAAGTACACAGTGGCTCCCAAGAGGGAGGTACGGGACCCTGTGATTCCCACACCGTCTGATCACAGCCTCATTTATAGACCAGAATGCGAGCTTCATTGGGTTAGGAATTTCTGTTGGTCCACCAACGCATCCCCAGAGCCTAGAAGGGCTCCTGACACAAAGCAGCTCAACAAAAGCTTATTGAAGGGGGACGCCTGGGTGGCTCAGACGGTTAAGCATCTGCCTTTGGCTCAGGTTGTGATCCCAGGGTTTTGGGATCAAGTCCCACATCAGGCTCCCTGCTCAGCGGGGAGCCTGCTTCTCCCTCTGCTTCTGCCTCTGCCCGCTGCTCTGCCTGCTTGGGCTCTCCTCTCTCTCTCTCGGACAAATAAATAAAATCTTTAAAACAAAAATCAAATAAGTTTGTTGAAGGAATGACCATGGTCCTCAGGCCAAAGGAGGGAACTCAGAGCACGGGAACCGAATGTCAGGTCCAGAGAGAGAAAGAGGGGCTGATCCAAGGTTAGATGTTAGAGATGGGACTACCCCAAGTCTCCCTTACACTACATGGGTGGTCCTCAGATCTTCGCATCAGGACCCCGAGGGCTCCTTAAAACACAGATTGGCGCCCTGTTCCACCCCTTCACCCCTGCATCTAACCCAGCAGGTCCAGGCTGGGACCTGAGAATGTGCATTTCTAACAGGTTCCAAGGTGCTGCTGCAGGCTTGGGAGCCACTCCCTGTACCTCCAGCGTCTCCCCGGCGTCTCCCCTTTGCCCAAGTTTGGGAACCACAAGGAAGAAGGCCAGGATGGATGGACCCTTTCCAGCCATGCCCTGGGCCAAGCGCAGTCCCAGCTGGTGTCAGCCCCAAGTTCTCCCAGAGAAGGCCCTCCCCACTCCCACCCAGGCCCAGACACGCCACGTCCTGCTTATACACTGCTTTGCAATCCCCCTGGCTTATCATCCTCTAATCTAAACCCTATCCAGTCCTACCTCTGACGTCCAGCAAAATTCCTGACAAAGCCTTCTCAGGCCACCCAGCCCACACTCCTCTCTTCCCTCCCAGAATGCCTCCCGCTTTTATAATTAAGACCACACTGTTTAGTTCTTAATTGTTCCCAAACTGCTTTACATGCTTGTCTTATCTCCCCAACTATACTTTAAATTCTTTAAAGATGGGGATCTTATCGAAGGCATCTCTGTGCCGCCCCTTGCCTGGCAGTCCACTGAGTGGGCTCACAAGGAGTCACTGGCAAGACCCTCCCATGCAGCCCCCATGGGAGCCCTCTCCTTCCTTCCCCAGAGTCCCATTTGTAATGCCCTCCCCCAGCCATCTCCAAAGTGCTTTCTGGAATGCAGAATCACCCAGAGGGAGGATTCTAGCAGCTGGGCCGCATCCCCTTCACCCCAAAGGCTGGATATGCCCCCCCACCCAATTCTGCCCCCAACAGCTGTGGCCCAGGACTGTTGGCGTCCTTGCTCCCTCACTTCCTCACCCCTGCCCTTAGAGAGGAGAAATACCACCAAGACAGGGTGTGGGGGGGGCTGTCACTAGTTCACAGTAGGACCACAGTAGGTGGGTTGGGGGGGGGCGGTTGTCCAGAGTAGAAGGGCAGGGAGGAGGGCAGACAGAAAGTAAGCCAAGTGCAACTTGAGGCAGAACCACAGTCCCACTGGTGGTTCTCTGGGCTGAGTCAGAGGAGGAGGAAGGGGGATGGGGTGATGGGAGTTGGGGGCGGGCATGGGGCTTGGAATGGGGAGGAATGTGTTCAAGAGATGCAGCTAGAGCCAAAGGGAACCATCCCAACAACAGCAGCAAAACTATTTCAGCCCTGGCCCAAGAGAAACACTCAGGAAGGGAGGACGCTAGCAAGAGGGGGGGAGGCAGCGAGTGGGAGGACAGGAGGTAGAAGGCCACCTGGGACCGGCCAGGCAGGGCTGGGAACCAGCAAGTGCAACCCACCAGCAGACACAGTTTCCTCCCGGCTCAGGAGAGGGGCATGCTTGTTGCTGGGCGATGGAGGCACTGGCTACCCAAGGGGGACCCGTCATCTGCAGCCCCAAGGGTGCCACTGGCAATCAGCCGGGATGAGATGCTCTCTCCTCCCCACCCCCCATGCATCCTCACCTGGCGGTTTCCGGGGCGGCCCCCGTAGGAGACGCGGTCAGCAGTGGTGGGTCCCGGGGAGTGTGCCAGGCTCTGGAAACTGAAATGCGGGAAATGGATGGTGTGTGTGTCCCCGTCCCACCCAGTCTGCCTCAGGGACACAGAGGGTGCCCTCAGGCTCCCATAAACCCAGCCGCTGAGACTGATAGGCCTGTTCATGACCCTGTGGCCTTCATGCCCACCCCTGCGCTCACCTGCGGCTGACCACAGCCTCTCCAGGGAGGGTGTGTGGGCTGCTGAGGGACAGGGTAGAGAAGGGGCTGCCTGGCTGGGGGCTGGAGGACACGGGGCTGGAGCAGGAAGACCGCAGGGGGGACTGGCTGTCCGTGTGCGTCCTCATGGAGCCCTGTGAAGAGAAGGGCCGGGAAGGGAGGCACCCATCCCCTAACCGGCCCTGCCCCTCAGGGTTCCCCTCACCTCAGGGTGCTGGAGTTCCCAGCAGAAGGCACCTTCCTACCTGGAAGCGAGTCGCCAGCACTTCCACAGAGCCTTCCCCATTGGTCTGCCCAGGGGAAGCAGCCCGAGACCTGAGGAGAGGCCAGAGGGAAGCAGATCACAGGAGTCCAGGAGCCCCACTCACCGGACTGGCGGCAGATTGCAGCTGTTCCCCCAACAGATTCTCAAGACTCATAAATGTTCAAAACATGTGAACATCAGGTTGTCAAATTTCAACTTTGCCAAGTTCAAAACAACTCTTATTAACAACCACTGTCATCTCTCAAAGGAATGGACAGTTTAGCATCAATATGAAAAACAGACATAATTTCATCAATTTGGTTTTAATAAAACCTCACAGTACTCCCTTGTCTTTCTCTTTCTGTCTCTCTCTTTTACGATTTTTCATTTATTTACTTGAGAGAGAGGAAGAGAGCATGAGCAGGGATAAGGATAGAGGGAAAGGGAGAAGCAGACTCCTTGATGAGCGTGGAGCCCGGACACAGGACTCCACGCGGGGCTCGATCCCAGGACCCCCAGATCATGACCTGAGCCAAAGCCAGACACTTAACTGACTGAGCCTCCCAGGCATCTCTCTCTCTCTCTCTCTCTTTTTTGTTTTTTTTAAGTAGTCTTTACACTTAACACCAGGCTCAAACTCAAGACCCAGAGAGGAAGAGTTCTATGCCCCACCAACCAAGCCAGCCAGGCACCTCTCTTTTTCTTTTTCTTTTCTTTTTTTAGCATTTCGTCTAGACTTTGTCATTGGTCAGCATCAGTTTGTAGATTGATTCTGGGGGAGATTGCTGATTTCATATAAATAATCCTTTATCTTTCACCCATGGAGACACAGAAGCCCAGAGAGAGAAAGTGAGTTCCTTAAAACCCAGCGATGGCCAGGCTAGCTGCCCACTCTCCCCTGCCCAGCCAGAGGCTGTCTCCCACCACCTTTGCTGCTAATGGCTGGAATACCTTTGAGAGAGTCATTCCTAGCCCCTTCTAAAGGTTTCTCCTCCATAAAACAAAGTGTGGAGCCTGTCTCCCTCACAACCCCCCCAACTCCCAGACCCCGCCATCTTGCAGGGCCTAGACAGCCAGGGTAACAAGCAGGCCCAGCTCCCCACCAATCACCAAGGCAGCCAGCAAAAAGAGGTGCCCCACCTCAGCTCCCTGGGAACCCCCCTCCAAGGCCCTTCCCTCTGGAGTCTTGAACAGGAGGCCATTGGAGGGCTGGGACTGGTCTCAGGTGAAGAAAGAGCCTGCCATGTCCCAACCCCACCACACCATTCCTGGATGTCTGGCCACTTCTAGAGAGGTCTGCAAGAACTGCAGTCACCACACACCACACCAGCCTCGGCCTCCCCAGGCAGGGGCGTGGGGCCAGTAAAGGGAGCTGGGGCTTTGGCTCCAGTCCAGAGCACTGCTTCCTGCCACAGAGCTTCTGGGTGCTCCTGTGGAGGAGACTGGGAGGGTTTAGGAGTGGACCGGACAAAAGAAAGAAGATGCCGGGAGTCTTGACCTGCCCATCATGGAGCTGAAGGCCTGGAGGGACTTGGTCAGGCCCCCCTCACTGATGGCACTGCGTACAAGAGGAACCTATGGGAAGTGATGGTGTCAGCACCTCCCTGCCCCTCTGCCACCCCACTCTGCAGTCCCTTGTAGACTTTGGTTCCCTTCCCAGATGCTGAGAGGTACTCTCCACCCCGCTCCTTGGGTCGCAGTCCTGCAAACACTCACGAGCCTGAATGGTATGAGGGAGTCACTGAAGGGGCCGGGATCATGAGAGCGTCGTGGGAGCCAGTGTCTATGGCACTGTGGGACAGTGGGGGTGAGGAGAGGGCATGGACTCAGGGCCTAGAGAGAGCCTGGGAGGGGAGGGGAAGGCAGAGAGGCAGGAGGTAACTGACTCAAGTTAAAGTCCCGCCCAGAGGGTTCTCCTGACTGGGGATCTCCCAGCATTCCTGTCCCGTGACTCACTCTGATGCCCCACCTCAGGGAGCCACCTGTTCGCCCCCGCCCCCCTGGCCAACCCAGGCCTCGTGGCTGAAAACCCAAGCCTGGGAATCTGCCTTCACCTGCACAGCCCAGAGAAGCCATGGGGACTGACAGAGGGGGTTCTTTGAGGAGTGAGCCCCAAACTCCTCAAACTACCCCTCCCAGGATCTGAACAAAGGCCATCCCCTCTTGGAGGCAGGGGCCTGGGAGACCCAGCCTAAGGCACCCGTTTCCCCTCTTCAACCCACTTCATGCCCACACCCTCTACCCTGCACACTTGGGAACCAGTCAAACCCGGGCATCCAGGTGCTTGATGCCAGCCGGCCCTGCCCATGGCTTCGTGCCCAGCCGGGCTCGGGGACACCCCTCAGCCCACTCTGAGGCAGCTCCAGAGCCTGGAACTTCTCAAAGATGAGCCAAAAGATCCCAGGAAGACCAGGCTGGGGCTGAGAGGGCAGCCACCATGCAGCAGGCCAGCAGAGGGGTGAAGAAATGCTGGCCGGCCTAGCAGAGGGGAGGGCCTACCGGTCTAGCCGCAGCCGCAGGGGTGAGGGGCTCTGGCGGATCTTGCTTTGCGCCTCCGCGTGAAGCATACCCTCAGCACTCTCCCCGTTGATGGCCAGGATAATGTCACCGGGCCGGAGGTCAGCAGCCTCAGCCTTGCCCCTCTCAGTTACCTGTAGGGCATGAGGGACAAGTGGTCTGAGATACCCCTGCTCAGACAGCGAGGACATTCCTGCAGGGATGGAGGAAAGGGGATGTGTCTCTGTCCTGCCCAAGAAATACAGAAGCAGGTTTGAACCAGGCTGACCTGTGTCCCCCTTTTTCTCCCTGCACCGCAGTGTCTGCCCAGTTATTCAGCTAATCCCCTCCTAAAGCTGGAGGGGAACCACCCCATTCACCCCATCCCTGGCATTCTCACAGAGCCTCCCAAAGAAATGACAGAATTTGAGGGGCTGTGCTTGGAAATACTTCTGGATGGAGAGCCCTGCCCACGCAAACACACCACATAGGTAGTTGCCCCGTGAATGCTCCCTGGCCTGGGCCTGGGTCAGGACACTGCCAAGGACTTGGGGCTCTTGTTCTATTAACTTCCCCAGGTGGCTGCCAGCAGGTGCAGGGTGGGTGACCAAGGAGAAAGGGCCTCTACTTGGCCCAGCTCCCTGTCAATCCCCAGAAGTCTGTTCCCGAAGTGGTCACCACAGCCCCATGGTAATGGGGCCCCAGTCCTCCCCAGGTTAACATTCTCAGAAGTAAGCCTTCTGACTCCAGAACAAAAAAAAAAGAAAGGTGGCTGTGGAGAGCCGGTAGACAGGGTAGATCCTAACTCCTGGAACTAGCCCTTACCTTGGTCACCATGATGGGAGTGTGGAAATCCCTGCCCCCAGTGATCCGGAAGCCCCAGGGCCCAGGCCCCGCCACATCCACAGTCAGGGCCATATCACAGGAAGGAGGGCTGGAGACCCTGTAGAAGCAAAAGAGAGGGGATGACAGGTCCAGAGAGAAGCCAGTTAGGGACTGGGGAGGGGTGCGAGGGGGAGTGTAGAGGAAGTGACTAACTCCCTCCTTCACCCCCCTGGTTTCACTTCCCCCCCACGCTGGGAAGCCATGACTCTGAGTTCCCCCTTCACCGCCACAGTCTTCAGCAGCGCAGCTCCCAGAAGGCAGGCCGTTCGGGTGCCTCACAGGCCCTTGCTGGATGGAGACCAGGCGGGCAGGGGCTGGCAGGTGGTAGGCAATGTCACGGTTTCCTGCCTCTCCCCCTCCTCCACCAGCAAGTCTAAGTCCCATCAGTGCTTGCTTCCTGTCCCCAAAACTGACTGCACAAGGTACTTCCTCCCCACTCTGGGGGAGGGCAGCACTCTGGGAACAGGAGTGACAGCAAACAAGGGGGGTGAGGCCACCACAGACTGTTCAAGTAGTTGGCTGGGTGGGGACTGGCCCCGGGTCTTCAGAGGGGCCTCCTGGCGGCCGGCCTGGCCCCTGGCAATGTGGTCCAGGTAGGCAAGACGAGGCCTCCCACCTCCTCCAGGGGCCTGCTGCCCTCTGAACAGCTCCAGCCAGAAGGACGGGCTCACCTGCCAAGCTGGGCACACCCACCCCCTGGCAATAGCTGTAGCAGGCGTGCTGCCTGCTAGCTGGGGCCACAGGCGTCCCATCCACGGCCCCCTCCGCTGGGCAAGGGAGTGTCCTTACAGACTCAGCCCTGGTAGGATTTCCTGAGCCTCTAGTTATGGAGCCAGGAGCCAACCCAGGCAGGAAGCTGTAATGCCAGCCCTGGGCCACCACCCTGCCCAGCACCCCCCCTGGGGCTGCCCCTGGGGAGGCCCAGAGGCTGCAAGTGCTGTCGGAATCCATCAAGGACACTAGGGCCACTTCCCGTGTTTTAAGAGCCTGGGGAGAAGGCAGCCAAGCAAGCAAGAAGGGCTCTCGGCCCCCTCTACGGTCCCTGGCTTTGCCTTTTGCCCAGGCCTAGCCCCTGTCCCTGCCCCAGGTCTCCAGGTCCCCAGGCCGACGCTCGCGGTTTACAGAGGCTTTGGATTCTCAGACCTTTGAGCCGGCTGATGGACTCCGCGTCCCGGGCCGCGGGGATGTGCCCAGCCCGTTGGCCCAGCTCTCCCAGTCCGGGCGCCTTCTGCGCTCCGAGGCCAAAGTACCCGCGGGCCTGGTGCTGGCGGAGGAGCGCCGGGGATCGGGAAAGCCCAGCACGCTGGGGGCACCGGCTTCCAGGCGAGGCTACAGGGAGAGGAGCCGTGGGCGGAGTAAAGGGCCGGGGCTCGGAGAGCGGCGCAGGGGGCGCGGGCTCGCAGAGCTGCGAGGTCCCCGGAGCCGGGAAGGTCGCTGGCCGTGCTGACGGTGCGCAGGTGGGCGCGCTCACCTAGCTCCCGCTCACCTGGCTCCCGCTCACCCGTCGGGCTGGACGGCCAGAGCTGGGAGGGAAGGGAAGGGAAGGAGGGAGGCAGAGGAGACACCGCCACTGCCGCCGCCGCTGCCGCCGTCTGCCCGACTCTGGGGAGAGCCCGCCCGGGGCTCCAAGACCTGCCTCCGCCCATGTGATCCCGGGGCCGCCCCTGCCGCCGCCCCTGGCCCAGGAGGCCGCCTCCTCCGCGCAGCCCAGCCCCGGAGCTGCCACCTGGCCCGCGCCCTGCTGGGGTGCGCGGGGGGTTTCTCTCTCTAGGGCCCCCTAGAGGCTGCGGCCGTCCTCCCCGAGGTGCCCTTCTCCTGAATGCTCGGAGAGGGCGGGGAGGCGTTCCGGTGACGGGTCGCGAGCCCCACTGCGCGGACAGCCCCACTGCGCGGACAGCCCCGGACAGGCTGCGACCCTGAAGCTCTCCCAGGCCGGCCGCGCCCACCCGCCTTCGCAGGGGCCCTCGAGCACCTCCCCCCCTCCCCCGCCTTCACCACAGCCCGGGCCGGGGCGGGGGTGGGCCGGCTGGGTCTGTCTGCGGTCCGCCTGGCTCCTCCGCCCACTCCCGGCTCGAACTCCGACGCTGGCGCGGATGGAGCCCCGACACCCACAGATTCCAAGCCGGGCCTGCCCTCGCGCCCTCCTCAACTCAGTTCCCCAACGGCGCGCGCGCTCCCCTGGCGGTGGCTGAGGGCTGCTGGGTTCCTGGGGCTGCTCAGGGCTGCCCTGCCAGACGGAGATGCCCCACAAGCCTGCTCGGCTCCGGGCGACCTCCGAGGCCCAGGAGATGGAGGGAATCCTGGCTGGCGGTTGCCGGGAGCTCTCCTGGGCTGATGCTCCTGGCTGATTCCTGGCTTCCCTCTCCTCACCCTCTCTGCTGCCCTGCCTGGGGTGGGCCAGCCCCAACAATCACCATGGGCCCTCGCTGTCCATGTGGCCAGCCTTCTGCCAACCACCTGGAACCCAGGCTCTGGGGTTAGGGAGCCGGTAGCTGAGGAAGGCCCCAGGCACCAGCTCAGAACCATCTGGCAAATGGTTCCCCGGAACCGTACCTGGCAACCCGAAACCTGGAGACCTCAGGGCGCACCAAGAGCCGGCTCCGGCATCTCCCATCGGTCTCCACTTTGCATTCTGTCAGGCTGGTGTGTTTTCAGGGAAGCACACCTGTGGGCACAGCTGTAACTTGCCTGCCTCAGGTGTGAGTCATTCCCTCCAAGTTCCCTCTGCAAGGAGTGCCCTTGCCACTCTTCCCGCCTACCTGTGTCCCGTGTCTCATCCTCCTCACATGGACTGACAGGTGGACTGCCACCGACCTCCCCTGTTCTAACCTTCCTGTGGCCTCTGTCCTCAGTGCAGGTAAGCCACTCTCCCACCAACCAGCTCTGGGCCTCCTGGAGTGGCCCCTTTGCCTAACACAAGTGCTCTACCACCCCAACTAGACCCCCAACTAGACCGGAAGCCCTTGAGGGAGCAGGAAACTGCAGGACTGGCAAGCACAGCCCTGGAGTCCCACAGACCTAGCCTCACATGCCAGATCTGACTCTTACCGTGTGACCTTGGGTCATTTCCTCACTTTCCCCATGGGTAAAATGAGTATACTGCCTACCTTAGCCTCCTTTGTGAAGACCGTCCTCCTGGATAAAGCTGCTGGCACGCAGATTCCTGTTAGGGTGGTGGTGGGGTTGCACAGTGGTGGTGGGGGATCAGTTCACTGCTCCATTCCCAGAGCCTAGCACAGTGCCTGGCACACAGTAGGCATTCAATAAATGTCAAATGAACATTGTTTGAATGATTGAAGGGATTAATTTCTCTTTTTTTTTTTAAAGATTTTATTTATTTGTCAGAGAGAGAGAGAGAGAGCAAGCACAGGCAGACAGAATGGCAGACAGAGGCAGAGGGAGAAGCAGGCTCCCTGCCGAGCAAGGAGCCCAATGCGGGACTCGATCCCAAGACGCTGGGATCATGACCTGAGCCAAAGGCAGCTGCTTAACCAACTGAGCCACCCAGGTGTCCCTAATTTCTCTTCTTTCACCCCTGATTTGTGGCAATGCCTCTGGTTTACATCTCTGTGTCCTGACTCTTCCCTAGTCTCTAGTATGTACGGGTTAACCTGCAGGATTTATATTCCATGGGTTGTGCATTCACAAAACTCATGATCAAGACAAAATTGACTCATCCAAGTGCAAGACCCTGTGGACCAGAAGGGAGGACTGTCCTGCTCTAAGCAACTCTGCAGCCCTGGGCAAGTCCCTCAGCTCCCCTCTCTAGAGGGAGGAGCATCCCCAGTGGCCTACCACACTTTCTGACCTTGACCTTGCAGGTCCCCCTTGCCCCTCAGGCCTGTGACCCTCCCCTCCCCTCCTCCCTCCTGGCCAGGTCAAGGCACAGAAGCAGTCACTGTCACACTGCAGGCGGGGCTGGCAGGGCAGCAGCCCAAGGGCATTGGGTTGGTTTGCTGCAGAGGTTTCAGGGCCCCATCAAAGAGGGTGTGGATTCGGTTTCTGTCCCAGGGAAAGGAAGTCTCAAACAACCCTGGTATCTTTTCTAAGGGCATTGGGGAATGCGAAGAAGCTGGGACAGGGGATCTCGAATAGGCCAGTGGGTTTCTGAAGAATGGCCATCTCCACATTATGGGCCGGACCAGACAACTTAGAAGCAGATGGTGGTGAGGCCTGGGGTGGACGGAGCAGACAGAACATAGGTAAGTCCTGTTCTTCCAGCTGTTGTTTAACCCCCACTAGGGCCCAGGCCACACCCAGGCTCAAGGAAATTGCCGGGGCCAGGCTGTGGGCCTGTCATTCACCGGCAGAACTAGGCACCACCACCTGTTCCCACCCACCTGGGGTGGGGGTACCCTAAGTGACAGGCCTAGCAGACAGGACTGTCAGGAAGAACATAAAAGGGTCCAACCCAGGGCAGTCCTTGGCCTCACCCATGACCTTCCTTATCCAGGACAAGGACTGCCTGGGCGCTTGGTCCACTTTGTGCAGAGAGGTGGCAAGAGTCATTGGACCTGACTTCACATTTTAGAATGATGCAACCCAGACAACTTCGTTTCTCAGCCTCAGTCTCTCATTACGTAAAATGGAATCCTACCCGTCATAGGGAAGCTTCTGTCAGCACACGTGCAGCACCTTTTGCCCCATTCAACTGCCAGCAGCTGCCAAGGAACAGTTTTCTTTCTTGGCAGAGCAGCCAGGCCCAGGCTGTGGCACTGCCGTCGCTGTGCAGGGACCACTGAGCCGCAGGACTGAGAAACCTCAGGCGAGAAGAGTTGCTTTGGCTAAGCTGTGCCCCACCACTCCCAGCTTCCCGCAATTGATGGCTCAAAAACCCGAGCCCAAAGAAGAAAGTAAACAAACACACGAGAGCTTCGGTGTGGAAATGGAGTGCACAGAAGGAAAACATTAGGAGCAGCACAGCTAGAAATGTCATCTCGCCCAGCAACCCCATGACGGCTCCGGAATCAAAACAGGCTGCACACAGGCCGCATTCAGCTCCCATCTCTGGTTTCTCCCCACAGTCGGGCTCGCCCCAGGCCCTGTGACGTCAGCTTTCTTGGAGCTGCTTGTCGGACAGCTGCCTGATCCTGGAGGCTGCCCCATTCTGCCTGAGACCTGAGGGCTGAGATCTTCAGACAATGAGGGTGCTTTTCCACCCTCCCCTTTCACACACAGCCTCACGTCCCACCTGGTTCCCAGCACAGCCAACTGCAGAAAGAATTCCCCAGTCCTGGGCAGGAGGAGCCTTCTCCTAGCCGGAAGGAAACGGACGGGCAAGGTCCCTGGTATCCAGATTTATTTTACATTCTCTTCCAGAGGGGACGTGGGGGTTGGAGGAGCTGGGGAGGCAGGAGGGCAGTGCGCCTCAGTCTCCGGGAGAACACCTGGAGCAGACCAGTCCTGGGAGGCCCAGTCCTTCTGGGTATTACAGCAGCACAAGGACACACACAGCCCAGGCAGCCTTGGGGAAGAGGGGGCCTTTGAGCAAGACCTCCTGCCACGCTTCGGGCACTTAGGAGGGGCTGTGTCCCTCTCCCACCTCACTCCCAAACCCAGCTGGAAGCAGGAAGGCAAAGGGGGCAGCGGGCAAGCTGGAGTGAAAGGGGACGAATCCCCTCCAGGCAGAGGTGGCCTTTGGTCTCTGTTAGGTTAGGAAGCTGGTCCTTGGTAGAGGAACCCCATGGGGGTGAAGTTGGGAGCCAGCCCCTGTTAG